CGTCTTTCTCAAACCCATCCTGAATTACACGAAATGGAATGCAGTTCCTTTTCCATACCTAAACGTCTACGTGTCGCGTCCTAAATGTCGCGATTCGTTTGCCATCCGCAACGTCTATTTAAACCTACTCGATAATACGCACCTGACATAACGCCATCTTTCTCGTACCCATCCTCAATTACGCGAAATGGAGTGCAGCTCCTTTTTCGTGCCTAAGTGTCTGACCAATTAAGAAAATTCGCCTGCGACTGTCTCTGTGTGCAGCTAGACCGGCTGACGGATTGGCAATCACAGCTGACCGACATCTTGCGAGCTCTTTGCCGTACACACGTGCATTCGGTTGGACAGACAGGCCTAGCCTTGACACACTCTTGCAGATAGACGCAACGAGAGCACTCGTCACACCGAAAATTGTCGATCTTCCCACGGAATTCCATTTTTGTCAGCTTTTTCACCAACTCGGTACCATCCTCGACGGTTCCATCAGAGGTAAATTGATTAAGCTACGTGTTTCCAGCTTCGTTCGTTCCTCGGGAGAACGCACACGCGTATTTAATCACTCGTTTCTACTATGAATGGTCTTGTTGCTATAGCAATCGTTCCTCGTTTGAACTTTATTCTCTTCCAGAATTTTTCAAAGCAGAACTGGACATGTCTGACATAATTTTAGAGTTAGGTAGGATATACGCATCGTTGGTTTTACTTTTATTATAATCGTTCGTTTTATTATTTTTGTATTTTCTTATTTTAATATTTTAATAATAATTCACAGACAGTAGAATCCATTAGTGCATGAGCAAAAAATTAAAAATACATCAGTTTGTTAGCGAGAGAAAGAATATAGGTTACGTATGGTACAAATACCGATATAGCTGATATGAACAATTTGCTTAGAGATTTAAGATCTAGTTTCTAAAGGAAGAGATATTATTGCCAAAAAATTGAAGGTTGGATGAGAAATTGTTTTCAAGAAAGCATATTCTAGTGATAAGGTCTGCTGATTCAAGTCGCGCAGTATTATGCTGGTCAGGTATAAAGGTTCGAAAGTCTCTTAAATTTCTTGAAGGAGCATCAAAATTAATGAAAGATAGTAATTCTGGACTGCGTATAATATAATTCTTGATTCAAGAGATTTAAGATCAAGCTTGCGTTGAACAGGTTCATAATCATGATCATAAATACTCATATAACGTGCAAATTTATAGCTAGCAGATCTTAGAAATCTGTGTTGAATCTGCTCAATGTGATATTTTTCACCAGCTTTTGTTGCATTACTTTTATTATAATCTGTACGCAATTGTTTGCATCACAGAGTGTTCTTAAGACCTAATGACTCCCACACAGGCAATCGTGTTTGCATAAATGTGACGTCGATTCGTCACCTGGATGTAGTACCGATTCACACATGTTTTTAGGTACGTGTGTACTTCTTCGCTGTGTCAGGGGTTCGTGACACGTCTCTTTTCGCGCAATTTCGACGGTATTCAACTGGCATCCCGTTGCGCGAGTGGGCAGAACCGCGGTGGAAAGCGTGAAATTTCGCGATGACGTCAATCAGTGTCAATTGATTTTCAGCCAGTCCAAAGGTACATGCAAGTTGGCATAGCGCGGCCATCCCGGTCCCGTGTTACCTGTAATTAACGTCAGACCTCGAATCGACTACGAGAGTCGAGATCGAGGGGGAAGCGAAAAGAGAAAGGAAGGAAGAAAATGCGAGAAATTTGGGGTAAAATTGGGGGTGAAATGGAAGGAAATTTAGGGAATCACGCGTAGCTGACCAGACGTCGAGCTTCTCGAAAAATTCGCGCAGCCATGCGACCGCACATTTGCGACTTCGTGCAGCCTCGTCAGAGACTGTAGGGGATCCTCGTGCGTACCGGAAATTAGGTATATCCGTGTCGGGATCCGTCGATAAGTCGGGTTCGTCACGCGACCTGGATATCCGCTCGGTCTTAGTCCTTTAACACTAAACCTACCATGATCTAAATGAGCAATTCCAAATTTTCATTAAAAATTTCGCACACAACTTTCATTATAATCGCTTCGATTATTTGTTTTCACGATTTTTCTTCCGATATTCATATACAGGTAGCCCTCCTATAACACGATTCATAAATTGCGAGAACCCTCCTACAACACGGTTTCGCTCTAACACGATAAGAAAATTGCAAAAACCTTTGTACAACACTGTACTTCTACATGACGACGAAGAAATTTATTAAATTAAAGTTGCGTTAAATTAAAATAATATTATTGTTTCGTTTTTATTTTGTATTGCACATACATTGATATTTTTAATAAAAATTAAGTTGTTTATGTAGAATTAGAAAAGAAATTTGTTTTTAATAAGTTTTCGGAACGTAACCCCCCTTTTTGTACTGGCTCTGGGTCTCATACAACACGGTTTCACACAACACCACATTTTCTAGGAACCTATCTACCGTGTTATAGGAGGGTTACCTGTACCTTAATTTTTCATTTTCCTTTTTGTATTTCTTTTTTTAAGGATCTATTATTTTTTCATCTACCAGCACATTGTTTCAATTTTGAACGATTTTTTCGAAAGTTTGTCGCTTTTCAAAGTGGTCTTATTGACATTTCTTCGTAATAAAATTATATTTGTCGATAATAAGACTAGAACAGTGACTATTCGCATATACAGTATACTAATAAGGAGGGAACACGTGCTTTGTTGCCTGAATGGAATTGGCACCTATACTCCGATCATCGAGAATCGGTGGCCTGCCAATCCTCGAATCTGCGTAGTCTATATTGGCACCTGGAGCTCTCAGAGAGGAGCAAGGAGCGTCTGGGAGATTTTCAGTGACAGAGGGATCAGGAAGATCGGAGCAGGTAGAAGAGAATAGGAATGCTCGTGCGTTGTAAGTTTTCAGCTGGCCGGTAATTACCGATCACGGAACCGTTCTCGGCTCGCCTTAGATCACCTTAGATCATTGCAGGCTTCGTCTCGAGCCAGTCCCGATGCTAGACTAGCAGGCGATTAGGGGAAACCCGAGTTTCGAGCAGTCGCGTTTCGGCGAGATCAATCGTGCGAGACTCGTTCCACCAGATTCTCTTTTTGCTTTTGGTCTCTCTGCTCTCTCTCTCTCTTCTCTCTCCCTTTTTAGCATCGTGTTCTACAGGACGCTCCAAAATCCGTGCCGATTTCTGCATTTCTGTCTCGAAGATAGACAATTCGTTCTGCCATGTCTGAACGAAATTTTGGAAATCTATATTTCTTACTGTTTACTATGTCCATTTTTTAATAAAATACGGTACAAGGATTGGCTAGTTAACTGCGGAATATAGTTTGAAAAATCCCTTACGGGGTGCGTAATTAAAATCATGCAATGGCGAGCATACACGTCGAATGCAGGGCAAATGCTCCTGTTATAAATTTTGCTAGAAAGACGTAAAGCAAAAGGAGGAAAGATTACATTTTTAAAATACAAAATAAATTAACAATTCGTCGTTGGAAATTTAGTTTTAAAATTCCTCTATGGGGAGGGTAATTAAAATCTAGCAACGACGAGTATACACGTCGAATGCAAAACAAGAAGTACATTTTTATTCGATGAAAAATTAACTCTTTGCACTCGGCGATCTTTTCGTTACGGAAACATAGTAATACGAAGACTTTCTGCCATAAAGTCGGCGATATTTTCAAAACGGTAACTATGCAGTGCAAATTAATTGTAAGACATGGAATTATTTTGCCTCGATATTCCACGTGTCGTTGGACAATTTTAAATTCGAGGTATTAATTAACAATGATCTCTAGAATTTGATTAAATGGTGACCGAGAGTCACCTCTCGAGTGCAAAGGGTTAATAATTCGTTGTTCAAAAAGGTATGGTTATTGAAAATTTAAAAACTGTCAAGAAAGAGGGTAAAATTTAGGAACAACGAATTATTCTTTCAGCTAATTTTTGTATTGACATTCCCGTGTCATTAGTTTTATGGCATTTCTCTTATGACATTTACATTGTCATGTCATGTCATGTCGTTTCATATTGAATGTCAAATGACATTCTATTTTATACTTCTTATTGATAGGAGTGTGTTAAAAATAGGCCAATTTTTAGCATCGCCAGGAAATTAAAAATTTATGCTGGACCTTTGACAGCATCTTGCAAGAAACAGGAAATCTCCTTATGCCACTTTGCCAAAAAGTTGTCAAAAATGAGTCGAAATATGTGAAAATGAGACAAGTGTTATGTTTCGTTCTCTTCTTTTTAGGATACTGAGTCAAGCAGTGAATAGGTTAAGCGAAATCGGCTCGAGGTGTGATTAGTGACATTTCACGAGGACGAGATACTCGTCGCGACGTTGGATTTTTAAGGAAACTGTAGCCACTCGGGCGAGCGGGCTCGTGGCGGGTTTTACGAACGCTGCCAAACCACTTTGTTCTTCCTCGTTTCTATTAGCCGTTTTCACGGCGTTAGGGCCCCGTTTAGCGAGCATCAACCACCGTGTCCGGGTATATATTTAACGATCGGCTCCGAAACGGTGCGCACATCCGTTTAACGACCCACGAAATTACGAAACGCCGCTCGTTAAAGGCTGAAAAGCGAGGTTCGATCGCCGGACGCGTATCGAATACGCGTACTTTACGATCGGCGACGTTCCGTTTTATTCGCCTTCGAATTTGACGTTTACGTCTGCTGCGCAGTAAAAACGCGCCGATTCCGCCTTCGTTCCCGGTTATTTTCACGCGTCGCGAAAACTGGCCCCAAAATACGATTCTTGGATCCTCTGTGATCGGTCAAACCGTGAACCGGATTTAAAATTTCATTATTCTCGGCTTTAGAGCCAAGTGTTAGCCAAGATAATCGAGACGTGGTCCAAGACATGGTCCATGAAGTGGTCTATAACGTGGTTCAGGACGTGATTCATGACGTCGTCATGGATTAATAATAATCGAGAGAGTTGCCAGACGTGTAATAGCAGACGACGGTGAAATCGTAGATCGCTTTCATAATTTAATTAATTTCATTTTTTTAGTCAAGTGTCTGATAATCGAGACGTGGTCCAAGACGTGATCCATAATGTGTTCCAAAACGTGGTCCATGGTGTGGTTCAAGACGTAGTCCAAAACGTGGTCTAAGACATAGTTCATGACGTGGTTCACGACGTGATCTAAGACGTGGTCTATAACATGGTTTAAGACGTGCTTTAAGACGTGGACTAAGACGTGGTCCAAGGCGTGATCCATGACGTGGTTTAAGACGTGGTCCAAGGCGTGATCCATGACGTGGTCTAAGATGTGGTCCATGACGTGGTCTAAGACGGGATCCACGACGTGGTCCACAATGTGGTCTAGGACATGGTCCATGACATGATTTACGACTTAGATCAAGAAGTGGTCCAAGACGTGATTGAGGACGTAGTCCATGACGTGGTCCACGATGTGATCTAGGACATGGTCCGTCACATGGTTTAAAACGTAGACCAAGAAGTGGTCCATAACATGGTCTAAGACGTGGTTCAAAACATGGTCTAAGACATAGTTCAAAACATGGTCTAAGACATGGTCCATGACGTGATCCAAGACGAGGTTCATGACGTAGTCCATGACGTGGTCCACGATGTGGTCTAGGACATGGTCCATGACATGATTTAAGACTTAGACCAAGAAGTGGTCCATAACATGGTCTAAGACGTGGTTCAAAACATGGTCTAAGACATGGCCCATGACGTGATCCAAGACGAGGTTCATGACGTAGTCCATGACGTGGTCCACGATGTGGTCTAGGACATGGTCCATGACATGATTTAAGACTTAGACCAAGAAGTGGTCCATAACATGGTCTAAGACGTGGTTCAAAACATGGTTTAAGACGTGGTCCAAGACGTGATTGATGACGTAGTCCATGACGTGGTCCACGATGTGATCTAGGACATGGTCCATGACATGGTTTAAAACGTAGTCCAAGAAGTGGTCCATAACATGGTCTAAGACGTGGTTCAAAACATGGTCTAAGACGTAGTTCAAAACATGGTCTAAGACATGGTCCAAGACGAGGTTCATGACGTAGTCCATGACATGGTTTAAGACGTAGACCAAGAAGTGGTCCATAACATGGTCTAAGACGTGGTTCAAAACATGGTCTTAGACGTGGTGCAAGACGTGGTTCATGACGTGGTCTATAACGTGGTCCAAGACGTGGTTCGTGACGTGGTCAAGGATTAATAATATTCGAGCGAGCCGACAGACGTGTAAGCGCGGACGTCGGGACAGAATGAAGCGGAGGGAGGTAGAATCGGCAGGCACGATCCGTGCCGTGTTTGAATTTCATTCTAACGCGTGTTGGCCACGTCGGAGAAGAAGAAGCAGAAGAAGAAGAATAAGAATAAGAAGAAGAGGGTGGCGGGGTAAAACGAGGGAGAATAAATCGGTGGCGGTGGAGAGTGGCAGAGGCAACGATGCGATCGGTGGACTGCAAATACTCGGCTATTTTATACCACAGATGCATTAGGCCGTGGCATAAGTACAGCATAAATGCACGTGCGTTGCGCTCGCGGCTGATTGGTTTACCACCTGCGGCTACTTGACTCTTTGCGCCTCGAATGGCCTTTAAAGTTTCCCTCTCGCCTCTCCGCCGATCTCGTTCACTTTATTCCTCTCCGTCCGACCCTCTCGAGGAAGTCGATCGACAGTCGGCGATATCGAGATATCGAATCGATTAATTTCAGGGTCAGACGCGAGAGCGTTCATCGATTTCCCCGGGACTCCTTGGCGCCGCTCTTCGCGCCGCTCTTCGCGCGGCTCCGCGTTGGCTCGAGCGGAAAGCAACGCGGAAGGGTGAACCCGACCGTGAGAACCTTCCCGATTCTCTCCTCTCCCGATTCCTCTCCCGTGTCGCGCGAGTCCATTCGATTGATCCAGAATTATCGACGGTTTCTCGATCGGATCGTTGCGTTCGAGAAAGCGTGACAACCGCTGTCAAATTTACCGCGAACTCCGAGAAAATTTCCCATATAACGCTTTGGAATCGGCGAGATCGATATCGAAGATGAAAAATATACCCTCTTTCCCGATTACACCTATTAAAAGAGATAGTTTACTCTTATTTATTTTATTTATATAATATAATATAAGTTAACTATTTAAGTTAACTAATACAATATTATACGCGTTGAACGATTTAACAGCGACGTGTCATCTCCGGCTTCTTCGAACTCGCTGCCATAATGGCCGCCGTCTTCTTCCCTGCCGCTGTTTCCTGGCGGCGGATTTGAATAATCCATCACCCCTCTCGAGTCTCGTCTCTCCACTTTCCGTCTTCATCGAGATCGATCGACGAGTCCTCTGGGATCATCGATCTCGATACACTCCCGTAGGTGGATTTCTCGAATATTCAGACTCAAAGACCCCATTAAAATTGGATTTTCATTCGGTGTCGGTGTGCTCGAAATCGCGGCGAAGACCACAAAGACAGGCGAGACCTGTGGGGCAGAGAAAGGGGACTTGGCTAAGCGAAACGACGACGTATCGATCGATCGTAACTCGAAAGCGAAGCTGGCTGGCGCACTTTTCAGGTTTCACTTGGCGAGCTGGCGAGTTATTCCGTAAACGCGTGGCAAATACGCGAACGGGCACCGAAAGAGGAAGAAAACTCGGAGAGAGCCGCGGAGATCGGTTCGCGATAAATACGGAAAAGCGTTCGCCTGGAAAAACATGGCGAAACGAGACAGACGTTGTCCCTCCTCTCGCGGTCTTTTTTCCAACGAAAATTCGCTTCTCACCTGGTTAACCCTTGGAGCGCTATGGACGCATATATGCGTCCGGCGAAAGTCATCAGCAGCGACGATGGACGCATATATGCGTTGTTCAATATTTTCGGTCTTCCATGTAATAGTATTACATGCAACTTTATGTGAGACAAATATATGTGTTTCTTAGCATCGACGCTAGAAAAAGAGAAATGATGGAACAAATAATAAACGCGAGGACGGGTTTATTCTTTTGTAAATCTGTTCTGAGTATCATTAGTAACGTATATATAGTATACGTATAACAATATTCACCCTTTGCACTCGAGACGTGAGCTTCAGCCACCATTTCATAAAATTTGGAAGATCGATATTAATTAATATATCAAATTTAAAATAATATAACAGTGCATGTGGTATCGAAAATAAATAATTCTGCGTGTTAGTTATTATACGATTTCTTATTTACTGTTCGAAAAATATCATCAGCCTTATGTAACTTTATGTGAGACAAATATATGTGTTTCTTAGCATCGACAGTAGAAAAAGAGAAATGATGGAACAAATAATAAACGCGAGGACGGGTGTATTCTTTTGTAAATCTGTTCTGAGTATCATTAGTAACGTATATATAGTATACGTATAACAATATTCACCCTTTGCACTCGAGACGTGAGCTTCAGCCACCATTTCATAAAATTTGGAAGATCGATATTAATTAATATATCAAATTTAAAATAATATAACAGTGCATGTGGTATCGAAAATAAATAATTCTGCGTGTTAGTTATTATACGATTTTTTATTTACTGTTCGAAAAATATCATCAGCCTTATAGCTGAAAATTTTTCAACTCGTATCCTTCTTTAGCCAAAAATCGTCGAGCGCAAAGGGTTAACAATATAAACAAATTTATTATACACAAATAAACTATTAATTTTTGTTTAGCTTTCCTTCCTTATTTTTATGTTAAGTTATATCGTAAATTTTATTGATTCTAATAGATAATCGATGCTTGAAAATAACGTTCTTTTATTATTTAACCTGCTGCAAAAGAATTACAATAATAACTTGTTAGTTGCGCCTTGAACAGTTAACCCTTAGCACTCGACGATTTTTTGGCTGAAGATGAGTAGAAATTCAAAGATTCTCTACTAAAAAACTGACGATACCTTTTTGAGCAGTCAATAAAGAATTGTATAATAATAGAATTTTAGAATTATTTGATTTCGATACCTCGCACACTGTTACATTACGTTAAATTTGATATATTAATTAATATCGATCTTCCAAATTTTATGAAATGGCGACTGAGGGTCACCTCGCGAGTGCAAAGGGTTAATCAACAGGGCTCGCACTAGCGAAAAATATTCCGTTCACAGTCCCTCTGAAGCGCTTCGGCAGAAAGTCGTCCGCGCTCTAAGGGTTAACTCGCGAGGCGGAGAGACGCGCGCGTGTCCCCTCTGTGCCCGTTGCTCGCCCCGTGCCCCATTGTATGCGTCGCGGCGAGTATCGAACTGGTTCCGACATAAATTTTTCATGCAGTCACCGATGCTCGTACCACGTACGCGGTAAATTCCTCATAACTGGCGGGGCACCGCGATTTCGTGGGTAGCTCGCGGCCTGTTTCAAGCGCGGTCCCCTTTTCCTCCGCTTTTTGCCGAGTTTTTGTTCGCGAAGGGAAGAGGAGAACGAGATCCTCGATTTCCAATTCCACGCGCGGGTATTTATCTGTTGCGCGGAATGCAGTCGCGGAACACACAGCGAGATGTTATCGGCGAGCAACGTCGCGGCGCTCCGCTCGCGGTTTTCATCTTCCGCGCGATAAGGGTGCTTCCACGTAGCAGCTAGTTCCTCGTTTTCGCGTCACCCGGCGTGACCGCGCGTGATCGACGTCCCCCGAGGTCGCGGGCAAGACCCCCTCGGAGGATAGATACCCTCGCGGAGCGTCGGGGCATCTGCAATTTAAATATTCCCCCGCGTCTTCGTACCACCTTCTCTCTCCTCGTTCGCTCGCCACCGCACGCGGATCGCCGAGATTCGTGGACGATTTACGTTTATTCGTCACACGGCGCAACGCCGTGAAATCACGATCCAAGCTCCCTCCCCGTCCCCGATTTATGGGCGTATTCAAATGAGGGTGAGTTTTATAATGCGTGAGCGCACGTGCAACGCGCGCTCGAGTTACCTGCCCGAGCAGCTTAGGTATTAGAATTCGCCTCTCGACTCGGCTCGCTCGCTCGCGTTTATTCCATTCGCGTTTATTAACCCCTTGCACTCGAGTGGCGCCCTTCAGTCACCATTTAATAAAATTTCCAAGATCGATGTTAATTAAATATGTGAAATTTCGGATAATCTAACGGTGTGCGGGGTATCGAAATCAAATAACTCTACCTGTTAACCCTTTGACTACGGCAGACTTTGAAACGCACAGGTCGTAATATAAGGTTAGGAATTCATTTACAATGTCCGCCGAGAACGGCAAAATTTTGGGTAGAGATGCGCCCTCCGTGTCAGAGAAGCAAACTGTGTTGAGCACTTATATGCGCCCTCTGTGTCACAAAAGCAAAATTTCTGAGCGCGTATGTGCGCCCACAGTAGCCAAGGGGTTAATTATCATACGACTTTTTATTCACTGCTCAGAAAAATATCGCCAGCTTTGTAACAGAAAATTTTTCAACTCCTATTCTTCTGTACCCAAAATATCGTAGAGTGCAAAGGGTTAACCCTTCGATACTACGGGTGACTGTAATCACCGACCACGAGACGTCACCTACGCACCTCGGGTGACTGTAGTCACTGTAAGGGGAGGAGGGAGAGGGTTGGGTTAAATAAGTCTATTACTCGATGGCTGATACAATATTCACACGCAGCTCTCGTCTCTCACGTGAAACTCCATCCTCTGCTCCTCGAGCTGCCCTTTTAACACGTTCGTCGCGTGTCACCCATATCTGGGCGACGGGTATGCCTCCGCGAGGGCCCCGTCTTTTTGTTCGAGTTAAATAAGATATTCAGTTGGATTTTTTAAAGGAATTTAATGGAATAAGCACTGAAATATAAATATAGGATATAGAACGTAAAATTATTAAAAATATTTCATACTCTCGTCGTTCAATTTAACAAGGTTAGGCAGAAGGAGAGAAATCTCTGATATTCTCTCTGTTTATAAAGTGTTCAATGGTCTTATAAATTGTTCTGATATATTAGAAAAATTCGCAATCAATGTTCTAACTTTCCATTTAAGACGATACAATTTTCTTCGTATGCAAGAACATAAAACTGCTTTCTTCGTATGCAAAAACATAAAATTCTCAGGTGTTAATAGAATGATTATTAATGTTAACAACACTTATGCTATCCTAGATCTATTCAACCGATCAATAAAACAGTTACTACATCGCACCTCTCTGTAAAAATTTGTTTTTCCTTATACTTATACACATCTCGTTTATGTGTATATTTGTATATTTTTATTTTTATTTGTTGCTATTAATTTTATACCTCACTGTAATAATTTTCTTGTAATTTTTCTAATGGCATAATCCCGTATAAATAAATAAATAAATGAATATACACATTATACTATACATTTTATTAATTTATATTTAGGATAAAATATTACATTATACCATATCGCATGGTATTCCTTGAAACAGTTAAACACATTTGAGGTAATTTTGAACAATTGGAACAATAGAACATCGTAGTCTGTCAATATATTTATGAATGGTAAAACTTTTCCTAGTTTGCTGCTCTGTTCTATCATTACGTTATTTGCGAAAGCAAGTTTGCTGATAGTATTTCAAAACGATTACACACTGCTGTGTGCAATTAGAAAATTGTAAATAGGATCCGTTGACCAATATCCAACGAGCAGTGTTTATACTAGACCTAGTCGAATTTGGGCCCCGCGAGAAACTCAACCAAATCGCACTGTTAGGAACGTGTTAAAAGCATTCTATTATATACTGTTCCGAATTTGAGATTGACTGCTCCAGGAAACGACAGGTCCTTTTAAACCCAAAAAACCGACCACTTGCCTGCATAATATCGAAAATCCTCGAAGCCCAAAGGTCGGTATAGGCCTGCAGCCTCTAGCAGATTTATCACCATCGTTCCATGACCGTAGTTAACCCCTTGACTACGGCAGACTTTGATACGTAGTGGCCATACCATACGGCAAGAAATGAGTTACGATGTGCGCCATTTTTGTGAAAACAAGCGCCCTCCGTGTCAGAAAGCCAAACTACGCCGAGCGCCTATAGACGCCCTCTGTGTCACAAACGTAAAATTTCTAAGCGCCTATAAGCGACCTGTGTGTCACAAACGCAAAATTTCTAAGCACCTATAGGCGCCCAAGTAGCCAAGGGGTTAATTTACAACAGATTTACCTGTTCGCCAGCTCGAGGCTGGCTTCGATTTTCGTCGCTAACCTGGCGATCTGCATACTTCCTAGTCCTAGGTAACGGCTCACGATGCGTTTCCCATTGGACGTGGATGTTGGGTCGTGGGGTGTGCACGATCCTCTTGGAAAC